TAATAATTTTATCAATATTCAATTTTTAAGAAACAAATTGCTTATTTCCATAAGTTTATTCACGAAAGAAAGAAAGTGTGATCATTTGTATTTTGTATTTTATATTTATATTTTGTTTTTCAAGATATATAGATTTAAAAGAATAGTGTTCATAGTATCATCATTTTTCTGTATATCTCAATTTATGGGCTTAATCAACATGACTCAAATGTCTACCGATATCGAATCGTAGATAGTTGAAAAGAATTAAAGAACAATGGAAATAAAATTCATTCTAATTTTTGTTAAAATTTTATACACATAACACGTACATTTAGCAACGTCGCGTTAAGGCAACATTTCATTTTCCAATTTATTAATGAAAAGATTTTTTATGTTATCAAATCTTTTCATTAACGTTTCATGCTTATGAAAATTATTTCAAATATTCGTTTCAAGTATCCATTATTTTTCTCGTCGCTATTTCCCTCATTTAAATCCTACAATTTTGTAAAATTTCAAAAAAATTGAATTCAAAAATTTCTAAACTATTGCTTGATGGATCAAAATAATTCTCTAAAGCTTTAGAATTCGAAATTCTAAAAGGATCATAAATGATAGATATTAACAAATTACCAAAGTCAGAAAAACTGAATTAATGAATACTTGTTATAGATGTGAAAAGCATTGGCTGTTAACGTTAGAAGATTATTTGTGAATAAAATTAAGAAAACAGGCAAGATTCTTTATGATTTAAAAAAAAAAAAAAAAGAGTACAATTCTTTCGTGAAAATTAAATTGAAAGATTTGTCGAATACACATGTACCAAGGCAATTTTCAATGAAATATATTCAAAGTTTATTTTCACGAAAATCAAGCTTTAAATACAAAAATTTTCTACGTAGGATAAATCCCTGTTAATTATTTTCTTTTTTTTTCACGTCTAGAATTACCTGAATGCAAGTATGCATGATAAATTTTCACAAGTTCTTGAATTCTTCGAAAATCAACAAATTTCTATTTCTTGTTTTGCCATAAAGAATCACATCATGTCTGTTTTTTACATATTATTCAGATTCTGTGTATTGTATTGACTTTAATTATCTCTGTTTCTATTATATTCATTCGTTGCGTGTTTTAAAATCAACAGTAACAAGAATAGATTTATTGCTAGAATTAGCTACAAAACTTGCAGCTAATAGTTCAGTTGTGCTCTTCAACAACACGACAATCTTCGCTATGTTTAGATTCGAGTTATTTTTATAGAAAATGAAAAAAAAATCGAGAGGGAGGCAGTTTATATCGGTTGCGAAGCGACATGTTTTTCTTTCAACGACGAGCCATCGATTAATTGATCGATCGCACGTGATTCGCTTCTATACGCATCGAAAGGAAAATTATTTATTCATTTATTTCACGGCGTATAGCCTTCAGTATCGAAACACAAAAATAAGTAGGACACAGTAGAACAGAGATGAAATAAAAAAGAAATTAAATACAGTAAGAAAATCAGAATATTGGGATTATCGAGCCAACGTGAATCATATTCATATGAGAAAATGTAGGATGTTTTTTTAACACATTTTGCAAAGGATATAAATATTTCACGAATACGAGGTTTTCTTACTTGTCCGGCGAGTATAATTTACAAGTGAAAATAAGAAACACATATGAATATATTTGTCGGCAAATTCTGAATATATGAATATTTGCAATTGCAACATATTACCTGATGTGTGAGGATCGTTGAAAATTTTTATACTGATAGCTTGGTATCAATGTAAACGTAGAATTTATTGTGCACATTTTGAATTTCTTGAGGATTTCGCTTCATCTCAATAACTGAATTATTAATTCCTATTATATACTTTTTGTTTTAGAATTCTGTGTAAGTATACAGAAATCAAGGGACGTGAGATGATCAAACTTCAAATCGCTATGTATTTTTCTTATTTTTATTATTTTTGTACACTATTAACATTGATTGTTACAGGATTGTTATTATCACATCAATAAATTGATTCGATATGCAAAAATAAATCAAAAGGATTAATTTAAGATTACGACAAAATTAAACTTGAAAATTAATCAAGGCAATGTTAACAGGACTTCAAATTGAAAAATTTTAATTTAAGTATATTTGACAAATTTTCAAAATCTATTATCTTTCTTTTTAGTAGCTTTGTACATACCATTCGAGCCAACATGTTTTTGAAAACAATAACAATAACAGTATACGAAAATGGATAGGATAGGATGAATAATATATTTATGAAATATTTATATTGTTTGTTATATTGCAAGCATTATTATTCAATTATATTATTCAATTATATTATTCAATTATATTTTGTTTAATAATATTAATATTAAATTTAACATTATTTAGTAATGATAATACAAAATAAAAATTTTATAATATGAAATATTTAATTGAGGGTTTAATACAAAATAAAAATTTTATAATATGAAATACTTAATTTGAAAAATATGAATTTTTCGAAGAATTTTAATACAAAATAAAAATTTTATAATGTGAAATGCAATTTTATAATAATATAATAATATGAAATACAATTTTATAATATGAAATACAAAATAAAAATTTTATAATATGAAATACTTAATTTGAAAAATATGAATTTTTCGAAGAATTTTAAACAATCTCTTTATAAATGTTAGAAAACCATACAGATCGTATTTATATAAGCGGTTTTTCGATATCTCTCACTATTCTTAAGATATTTCGCTCTATTGCAATTTCTTCAATGATTTTCCCTTAAAACGCACGAATAAAAAGTAGATTCGTGTTACACATGAATTACTCTATTTATACATGAAGTTTCATAATTTTGTGAATTTCCAGGTTCTCTAACTTCCCTTATTAGTTAGACATATAAAATAATACTATAGAGGTCTGGAGTTTGTAAAGTAATAGCAATAGGGTTTATTGTAAAGTAATAGAGTATTTGCAAGGAATGTAAATATTGAACACTAAGCAAATTAGGGCAATATGTGAATGAAGTGACACAACTCGAAAAAGCCTTTTTTTTTTAAGAATTTTAGTTCTTTCGCTGGCTTTTGAATTTTTCAATGTGACCTTCTTTTTAAAAGAATGTAACAAGAACCATATGAAAGTTTTCAATGTTTTAGTGATAAAACGAACCTCTTTATTATTAAAGAAACGACAGCGAAATAGCCAAAATTTGAAAGAAGTCACTGAAGTAGAAATTTACCATGTTGAACTTACAATATGTTAAAATTTACAACAAATTGTAAGTTCGTTCACAACACCGACGCGGCGTGATCGCATCGCGACAAAGTGAGTTTCGCGATGATAATAAAAGAACGCGAGTCCTTGAATAGAAGACGGAGTATCGATTCATAAGTACAATAAGACAAAAGTTCAGATTCGTTGAAGAGGGCGATTAGATTTGTTCCGTGAACAATGTGGGTGTATGTATCCGGTGACGAGCCAGAAAAAGATCGATAGAACATACTACATAAATAATTGGACATACTACATACATTTAATGCAATTTCATTGAAAGGTTAATATTTTTGTTACGTTTCGACAGACGTCTCTTTACTGCTGATTTTCTACATTTTCGAGTTTTACATTCAGTTTTATTAAATATCTCGTTAAATCTGTATAGCTCTTTTTCTTCTCAATGTGATTAGAAACACAAATTTGTATAGTTCTAAAATTTCATCAATGGACAGACATACTTAAAGTTACTCTGAAAAATGTTCAACCATTTAATTATTAAAAGAAATGCAGCACGTTTGGAATGCCAGTTTGTTTAAAATGAATAAAGAATTGCAGCAAAAACTATAATTTTTAAAACAATAGTAACAAAAAACAAAAAATATTTGAATATAATTTTATAAAATTATACGAAAAGTATTTGATATAATGTTATATTATAATATTGCAACCATCTTTTGGAAGATATTAATCCCTTGAAACCATCTAAAGTATATGGAAAATATTCTTTGCATCATTACAATAGAATCACATTCAAATTGTATAATTATTGGTTCAATTTTATTACAATGTTGATACAATGAGTATATGGAAAATATTCTTTGCATCATTACAATAGAATCACATTCAAATTGTATAATTATTGGTTCAATTTTATTACAATGTTAATACAATGAGTATATGGAAAATATTCTTTGCATCATTACAATAGAAATTCACATTCAAATTGTATAATTATTGGTTCAATTTTATTACAATGTTGATACAATGAGTATATGGAAAATATTCTTTGCATCATTACAATAGAATCACATTCAAATTGTATAATTATTGGTTTAATTTTACTCTTCATTCTTCTTATGTACTCAGTTTATATTTGTTAATACAATGAACTATAGAGCCACTGACAATCAACTGTCATTTATTCAACTATCAACAATATTAGGAGGACTAAAAATTTATATGAAAAAGATCAGTAACTGAAAGTTATTTATTATTCAAGTTGGAAATACTAATCTCAAAATGTAAAGGGAATTCTTCAAAAAGCTACATGATTTAAAATATTAAACATTTTGCTTAATAGCAATCGTAAATGACTGAAATTTCTTTTCGTTGCCGATAACCATTATTGATGAAAGGAATTCTATTTCGATCGCTTATAGTAGTTAATGAGGGGAATTTATTTTGGCTGCGAGGGAAATTTTCATTTAAATAGTAGATAAGAAAAACTTTATTTCGATCGCTCGTAATAACGTAAATTTTGCACCCGAAACGAAACAATTCCTTCGCACGTGCGCTAAAACATTTAACCGTAAAGTTACCCTCTGATGTGAATCTAATAAGAAAGAGAATCGAAAATTAAATTTCCCTCGCTGATAACTTCCATGAGTTAACCAAAATCAATCGTTCTTCTATCTTCTAGTGGTTATCGGTAACGAAAGACTCTATAATACTCATAATCGTTATTTAACGTTTTTTTAGCGAAAAAAAGTAATTGGTATCCTATGACTGTTTTTTATTCTAGTTATAATAGTTATGGTTCCTGAAGATAACTAAGACAGTACGAAAGAGCCCAATTATACCTACTGATGCCTCTCCACGCCTATTGATTGCAGCGATTTCGGCAATCCCGAAAATAGTCTGCGAAACAATCCACGCGTTGGAGCTACACGATGAGACACCGTCGTGGAAGATCATGGACAATAAGGGACGTGTCACGGTGGTGCTGCACTGGGACCAGCGTTCATCGACGTCGTCGCAGGCGCAGCAACAGCAGAAAGGCCAAGACGTGCAAACCTCGAAATATTCGCCGACTAAGAAGACCGATTTAAGTCAACGGCCACCGCTGGTCATCCAGACCAGTCTGGACAAGCTCAACTATGGCGGGAAGCTAGGTCACCTGGCGGCCGAGGTCGGTCCCAGCCGCTACAGCAGCCCCCATATCACTGTGATAAATCATGACGACATGGTACGAGAATTCGTAACTACCTTCTCTATTCTATAGGGCGATCCGTCCAGTGAATGAATATTTCAGTTCCTTAGTGTGCCTGTTAAAAATCATTATTTAGTCTTCAACGTTATAACAATTCAAAGTAATTTAGTATATATATTCACATTTTTGTCTATGTTAAACGTAGGAATGGGCCACTCAAAGTCCCTCGAAATCCAAAAAGAAAAAAAAAGATTCGAGTTTTGAGGCTTCGTGCCCTTTTTTCGTGATTCGAAACTCTCGAAATTCAGATAAGAATGAAGAACATCTCGAATGTTTGACTTGAGCAAATCTAGAAGAATTTAAAATATCCAATCCTAAATACAGTATCGAAATCTAAAGAAACTTGTCGAAAGAATGTTATTACATCGCCACCAACGATTTTTACAACTCGGCACTATGGCCGACAAAAAGAAAGTAGATTATATCCGGAAACAGTTCGGATGTTAATATCTTGTTTGTTTTTTACTTCAAGCTTCGAAAGTTTCGAAATCTTACGAAAATTTCTAATTCGAGTTCTGAGAATTTAGAAATTAGTGTTAAACTCATCTCCAAGTGTCCAAAAACTAATTTCAAAGGAGATATAATGAAAAGTTTGATATAGGTCTGTCGTGTTGTTATTTGTGATTAGGCTGTTCGTACGTTAATTTCTTGAATTTTATTATTTACATCCAGAGAATGTTTTCTTTGAAAACTCGGTGCATTTTAATAATTAAGATAAAAATGAGCGAAACGAGTAATGAATGAACAATTTCTAATGATTGAACAGAGGTACATCAATGAAGAGGATAACATTGTTGAAGAAAATATGATTCTCATGGTTTGTGTACTAGTTGATCAGAACAACTGTTGTAATCAGTAGGGGGGAAAGACCAATACTGCACATATTTTATAAAATTCTGAATATGATTGTGAGTCTCTATTTTAAAAATGTTAAACAAGGGAAAAAAATGTGTAGGTAAATTATCATTCACAAGTATTTAAACAGATGATACAATTAATATTTTTGTTACATTTTTCAATATTTGTAATGGAAAAATGTTTCTTCACTGTTAATCTTGTGCTGCTTGTAATAATTAGGTTGATCTGAAGGAATATACCTGTATCGTTCAAGTTTTATATTCTTTAAACAAATATTCGTTTGAGTTTCCATGAAGTTTATAGAAACTTTTAGTATATGACTAGAAACACTCATTTCGATTGCTTTAAAGTCCCAATATGGAGCAGATACATTTAAATGGAAATGTATGTCACACATTTATATCAATTTAAGTGCATCTGTTCTATATTGGGATTTTGTAGCAATTGTGATATGTGTTTCTAGCTGTATTCTAAAAATTAGAAGTTGCAGATAAATATAAAATTTCAGTTATTTTTTTCTGTTTAATCATACTGATTAATATTATTCATCAATATTTTTTTTCTTTTAAGATCCATAATTCTTTCATAATTTATAAAGTAAAATTATAAATTTCGAGCAAAAATACATATTTCTCTCTCCATTTTTCCATATATGACTTAAAAAAAAATTTTAAAAAACTCTTTTCACAAGTCTCTTTTTAATTACGATACGGACCAAAGAGAAAAATTTTTCAATGATTTTGAAGATGCTTGAATTTTTACAGTTTTAGAGTATCTTTGCTTTTCTTTCTATATTACATGATGTAAAAGTTTACTCCTATCGCCAAAAATAACGGAGATATTCAAGGTGATTAAATTACGTCATCCTGTATATTATTGTCTGAGATAAATTTAAAGATCACAATTAGATTAAACACAGTACCATTTGAAGTATATTTCACACATTCCTACGAATATTTATAGATGTTGATTAATAATAAAATAAAATATTTCTAAATTAAAAAAAAAAGAATTATGAAACAACTACCGTGAAATTGAAAAAGAGAAATAGCAATATACATAATATGAATTAATCACATTTGTTAAAAGTAAACATTCTTCTTCTATTAATAACACGTATAATTTTTGTGCAACCGTAAAAAGCAAACCGAGCATTGAGTATGATCGTCTTTTGAATAATGACGTATTTAATTTTCACAGATTCTTCCTTTATATTTCTCTCGGAATTTGACGACTCTGAATTTTTCGACGGGATTGAAAAAATTGTTCATTCATTGGTATTCATTGTTATCTTCTACTCAATACATGAACACCTAACAAAATTGACAAATTTTTAGAAATCCATTATTCATATAAAATTTCTTGTTAGAAGAACATTTAAGTTATAAAAACAAATTTATCATTAAATGCACTTTAAAATGCAAATTGCAAGAGGTCGAGTAATAAAATTTATCTTACAATTAGTGGAAGACACACGAGGACAATTATTAAATAAAAAGAATGTAATACCGTACAGGTTATAGGTAAGAAGAAGCTTTTCTAAATTTTAAAATTCGGGTCATCGATGATGATCACTAACTAATAAATAAAACTTCCATCACCGATAATTACTGGTAATAATAAGAAAGTTTTAGTCATTTATACTAATTATGATTATTTGCAACCAAAGAAAGTTATTGGTTAGTCAAGGTTAGTAAATTAAAGATATTAACATTTATACTACGACAATTATAATGTTTGGCGAAATCTGTGGATTTCTATTGAGATTGTTATATATATATATATATAAATATCGACGTGAAAAGAATAGACGACACGATAGACGTAATCAACTTTTTGTGCGATGTGAGCAACATTCATTCACTGGACAGGTCACTCTGCTTCGAGTTCTTTCTTTCTTCTTACTCACTCACTGTAGAAAACGATTCACGCGAGGTTTCCGGGTAACGAGTCGATTTCGATGGCGCAGGAGACACCGAGCGCCAATGTCACGTTCCATGGAGATCCAGGACGCTGTTAGAGCTGCACGATTCCGAGCCCGGAAGCCTCGAGTCGCGTCGAGTCGTGTCGAGTCGAGTCGCGCGTCATTATACGCGCCACGTCGATTACCGCACAAAGTAGTAGCCCGCTCGAGACAATCCTCTCTCGAATCTCCGATCTAGACAAACGATTAAAACCCGCCTACGTGGTAACGATCAGCAGCAGCAGCAACAGCAGCCGCAGCTACAGCCGCAGCCGCAGCCGCACGGGATCCCCGGCCGTCTGGTGAAGCAGGGTACCAACTCGTTCGACAGCACCACCATCCATATCCACACGCCGGAATGCTCGAATCACATTCACCAGCCGGTGGTAAGGAACGGAAGTCCTGTTAACGGGGCGGACGGCGGCGCCAGTGGCGAATGTGATTTTCATTGCTGTGCGCTGCACGAAGAGGGTCGTAGGATCGCGGTGCACAAATCGGTGGCCACCTCGCCAATCCAGGATGCACAGCATCAACAGTACCAGCAACAGCATCATCATCCGCACGCGCAGCAGCAACAGCAGCAACAACCGCCGCCTCAGCAGCAGCAACAGACTCAAACGTCGTCGCCTCAACCGCCTTCCTCACTGTCCGACGGGACGAGACGAACCGGCCTGAGCAAAGGTCACGTGAGATTCTGCGACACGGCGGACGAGGAGTCAAGCTCTCGGCTGGCCGGCAACTCCGCCGCCAGCTTTCACCTGCATCATCATCACAATCATCATCAGGAGCACGACAGCTCCGAGTCGGAGACCGAGAACACGATCATGGAGGACGAGATCGTCACCTCGGAGAAGTTTTTACTGCTCATCGATCAGCTAACGGTAGATCAGAAGCATCTAAGTATCAAGGACATCGGTATAATCCTCGAACGGCTTAGCTCGAAGATATTGGACGTGGAGCGGCTGGATCGCGAGAGCGAGAGCGAGGAGTGTTACAACTGGACGATCAAGGCGATTATCAGGGGTGACGTGTTGCGGGAACTCGGCGTGATTTACAACGGCAACTACTACGCCATCTCGGAGCATCCTGGTTATAAGGAAGAGTCCGAGGAGAATAACGAGGATAACGAGGAGGAGGAAGAGGATAGACTTTAATATGATGCTGTTTTACTAGATAGATAGATAGATAGATAGATAGATAGTTAGATAGATAGTTAGATAGATAGATAGATAGATAGTTAGATAGATAGATAGATAGATTATACACCTATTAATGGTTATTATTAATATAGTTATGTATCGAGCTGCGAGGGAGAGGGAGGCTTTGATTTGGAAAACGTTCGAAACCGAGCGAAGAAC